TGGCAAACTGAGAGCATTGTTGCAAGATTGTCCGAAAAATCAGCAATTGTCCCGTTTAAACCCTCGTAAAATATCCACATCTGGCAACTTCGGCTGGGACGACGCGACACCGCACCGCAGTGACAGCGTTTGATAAATGCAAATCCGAATTATTGGTCTCGTGTGTTTACAAGTGGCATCCCACCGTCATCCCATCTCACCGCACATTTCGTCCTCGACCTTGCCAAATTATCGCCACCGGGTGAACGACTAAACAGTTTGCGATTTCACCGATATGTAATTCGCACGTAAAACTTCGCGCGAAACGCGGTGATGCCGCAGGTTAGCTGAAACGCGCAGAATTACCACTCAATATAATGTAGTACCTACACTGGAAAAAAAACACATTGGATCTAGAGTCCAGACTCTTAAAAACATCGACAAGAAAAAGTACTCTTGATTCAATCAGAATCTAGCTTAAATCAAGAATCAAGCCTCTTAATCGAAGCGGATTTCGTTTTGATTCAAGCAAAGATCCGATTGAATCAAGAGTATTTTTTCTTGTCAATGTTTTCAAGAGTCTGGACTCTGGATCCAATGTATTTTTTTTCCAGTGTACGCTACGTACATAGAGTACATAAAGTCGTAATGTAAATGGGAGAGCTGGCGCCATGTTCTGCTCGACGAATTCCGAGCCCGGTGTGCGCCGAGTTCGGGTCGCTTTTTCGATACATTTTCGATCCAAAACGGCGGTGTGGAATACGTGGTAATTTCTATCTCCGTTGTTGTTGTTGTCATCGGATGGCCAGGTACCCGTGTATCCCAAACAATCGATTATGTATCGAAAAAGTGACCCGGCGTCACACAGGAGTCTCGGAATTCGGGACATGGAAAATGCTTAAAAAAGTGGCGCCAGCTCTCCCAATTACATTACGACTCTATGTCCTCTATGGCTACGTAGAGAGAGTATGGACATGTCCGGAATTTTGGGGTTAGGTCATGGAGTTTGTGGGGCCCAAAAGAGCAGCCAATTAATGTATTCAAATCGTCCAGAGTGATTTATTATTACAATTGTTACGCCCCGTCGCATCGTTTGTAAAGCACATATTCGACGTACTTTGTGCATAAATGCACTTGTTTTTGCGGGAAAACACTCATAATGAACATTCTTGGCCATCTTGGTTTGATATTGAAATCGAAGATTTGCAGAGACATTTTTTGTGTTGGAAGGTTGTCCCCGCCTTTTTGGGCCCTCAGAACTTCATATTTCGATAAGTCCGTGTTCTCTCTATGTAGGTACTCCTAACCCGAAGTAACAATAAATAAACGTATTTTCAATGGGCCAGTTGCGCTGGTCACAGAATCGTGTTTTAATGCTTGATTATTGAGACTAACTGAAAATAATAAGATCTGTCAAAACTGCAACTATCTACGTTCAATATTAACCGAGATGTCGCCTTTTGAAAAGTCAGGTTTTTGAAGTCATCCACCGCGGTAGTGATACCCTTGGTTTCTTCCACCTTGCTTTCATCAGTCGGCGTGACTCACGTTTGCACTGGTTATTCACCGAGAAACTAAGTTGAAAACAAGGTGGAAGAAACCAAGGGTGTCACTACCGCGGTGGACAGCGTCAAAAACCCGACTTTTCAAAGGGCGATACCACGGTTGATATTGAACGCAGAAAGTTGCGGTTTGGACAGATCTTATTATTTTTAGCTAATCTACGAGAATCGAGCATCAAATCACGATTCTGTGACCAGCGCAACTGACCCATTGAGAAAACAGGGATTTGAAGTAGAGTCCCTTTATACTGAGAGTTGAGCCAACGCCCCCTCATATAGTCACAAACGGGAATAAAAATTACGCAAATTAAACGTTTTTCGTAATCTTTGATAGACCCTTTCTCAAATTCCCTTCTCCGTTCCTTCTCTCATTCCGTTTGTTCTTTATCGAACCCGTAATTCCTCGGTCTGTCCCAGATTAGAATCTTTGCAATCAGTAAAAATGTAATCTTCATTCCCGTTTGTGGCACCGTGGAGGCCTAAAACACGGGAACCAATCAGAAATGGATTCACATTGTCTTGACTCTCAGCATAAAGGGACTCTAATTTGAAGTATTTCCTACCGCGAGATACTCTGCAACCCTGGAGACAGAGGAGCTTTGAGTGAGAGGCGACACATAGACGCCCCTGCCTGCGCCTGCCGAGATATGCAAGACGCAGGGCGCGGGTGGGAACGTGTTGACACGTGGGAAATCAGCGCCAGGCGCCAGGGATCCGCTACTTGGCTTTGACACCCTGCTCCGATGCCACGACCCTTTCAGGGCAACCGACCCGGAATCTGCGCGCCTCACCCCCTTTCCATTATTATCCGCCCCTAATCACCGAGAATTTCCCTGATCGAAAATACTCGTGGTTGGCGGGTGGCAGGCCTGAAAATTTTTCACGAGGCGCTATCGACGTTTTTCGTATTTGAGCGCTTCTCAAACATCGTGTCTCCTGTGAAACGATTTTTCAGACCCTTGGGCTGTCGCTAAGATGTGATTGTTTATTCTCGCTTCAGTGACGTAAAAAAGAAGATTTGGAAGTAGTATTAACTACCCTGACGTTTGAGACACACACCAAACTTTATGAAGAGGTTTCCTTGATTTGATCTTAATCGCTCTCCTGTTCTGTAAACCTGCTTGCCACACTGGAAAAAAAAATCTCGGTGTATTTACTAAGAAAAGGGTAAAATTACCAAGAACTCAGGGTTCTATTTGATCCCAGTTTTTTCTTGGTAAAATTACCATTTATGGAATTGGTAATTTTACCAAGAAATCTCGGTAAAATTATTGAACTTTCTTGGTAATTTTACTGGACCTTGGTAAAAACGCCAATATTTTTTATCGACTGTGGTAGAATTACCGAGATAAAATGGCAAAGTTACCGGGAATAGATTACCAATAAAAGTGGTATTCTTACCTGGAAAAACAGTAAAAATACCGGTTTTTAGGTAAGCTTACCAGTCTGTCTTGGTAAAATTACCAATAATTGGTAAAAAAGTAAGATGGTAAAGGTACCAACGGATCTTGGTAAAAACGCCGAGAATTTTTTTTCAGTGCATCGTGCGATCGGGGAAAATTGATTTGTTCGATGTCTTTTCGAATACGTGAGGAGATGTACAGCATTTTTACGCGATTGAAAGGTCTGTGGGGAAAGAAACGAACAGCGCTAATGACACGTCGAAGCTAGGTGCCTTAGTCAGGGCCGGATTAAGGGGGTGGCCACATGGCGGCAAAATTTAGGGGGCGGAAAATTTTGCAATCTTTTTGAATGTAGGTATCAAAAAAAGAGAGAACAAAAATCAGATTCAGAAAATAAATTACAAACGAGAAAAGACGACAAAATCTCTCATTTCCTCAGAGTAAAAGTATAATTCCTAATTTTGTCGTCTCTCGGTGATACAAGAGACAACACCTTCAATTAGTCGAGTTGAGAGAGAAACCAAAAACGCAATTTGACCTGGCACGAAACAGCGCGGCGGTCAGCGTGAAACGCATAGCGCCTACAAGACTGGATGAATACCTCACGAATTGCGTCAAACACACTGCGGTCAGCAGCAGTCGGCTGGAAACGCATAGCGCCTGCAAGACTGCATGAATACTTCACGCATTGCGCCAAACACAGTGCGGTCAGCAACGGTCAACGCGAGATGCATAGCGCCTACAAGACTGCATGAATACTTCACGCATTGCGCCAATCACAGTGCGATCAGCGCGGCGGTGGAAGTTAAAATTTTTAACCACATTTATGTTTGTTCTTTTATAATTTTTTCGTTCTTTTTTATAAATGGAAGGCCTTGTCCAAAAAGGGATGGGTTTACGGAACTAAACTTTTGTTAGTGTTGACAGGGCTTTCACAAAAAATGTACCCAATTCGAGTAAACGCGTCTCATACACCCCTCCCCCACCGGCAGGTTCATTTGATGGTTTTTATAGATCGTAATCGACGGATCACACGGGTGAAATTTTATTGATGTCGATTGGTTAAAAGTCAATTTAGAAATCTGAGGTAACGGGTCTTATGTGATTGAATTTTTACTCGCTAGCAATGAAAAGTGAAATTGTTAGGAATTTTCTTATTTTCAGCTTTTCCAGATTAAATCCTAAAATTTTTGTTTGAAGTTATGTTCTATTGTTTTGAACCAAACGATACATCGAACCACTGTCGAATACGATCTATTGATGTTTCGAAACAAAAGAGAAGGGGGCGGAAAAATACGGGCGGCCCATGGGCGGCAAGTAGGTAAATCCGGCCTGGCCTTAGTGCCCTATAACTTAAAAATGTTGTGCAAACGGTTCCGTTGCGCTGGTCATAGTATTTTGTTTCGATGCTTGATTCTTGTAGATTAGCTAAAATTATAAAGATCGGTCCAAACAGCAACTGTCTATACGTTCAATATTAACCGAGATGTCGCGCTTTGAAAAGTCGGGTTTTTGACGTCATCCACCGCGGTAGTAACACTCTCGGTTTCTTCCACCTTGCTTTCATCAGTCAGTGTGTGCAAGACGCACATTTGCGCCGGTTAGTCAACGTGAAATTCGGATGAAAGAAGGGGAAAGAAAACAAGGGTGTCACTACCGCGGTGGATGACTTCGAAAATCCGAAGTTTCAAAGGGCGATATCTCTGGGGCGACTTTTGACACGTTGAAGTACAGAGTTGATCCTTCATATTTTTGTGTTTCTTATTTTCATCCTCCACCCCTTCATCTTGGAGCAAGGGCACCCTACAGAGACCCATCCAAGTAACGTTACAATTGGACGCATTTCTATCAAACGGAACCATGTGCATCGTGACGTGAGCCTTGTTCTGTATGTATTCTTATGGGTCTCAGGGCTCACGTCTAAATGCACATAGTTCCGTTTGGCAGAAATACGTCCAATTGAGACCCTTCACTAACTCCACAGCGACCGGTTTTTTAAACTTTCACTTTGGTGCATTTAACCTTTTCACGGAGAGTTTTGCGTTTATGATTCCAGAGGGCGCTGCGGAGCATGTGCCGGAGCTTCAAGGCGCTGATCTGCCGGCGGGGGGAGTCGTTCCGGGAGTGCCGGATCCACCACACGCACGGCTCCACGCACAGTCGCTCCCTCTCGCGGCACGAGCGGAAAACGGAGGTTTGCCGCCTCCACTCCAACCCCCTGCCGGAAACGACGCAGAGCGGCCGGACCCGCAACGGCTCCGTCACCACCTACATCACCGGCAACGGTGACAACAACGGCTACACCAAGAAGACCAACCAGGCCACCACAAGACTCTAAAGAATCAATGTCCATCGTCTACTCCAGAAATCTCAACGTCATGCTACAGTACCAATAATACCTGGGGAGAACATCATGCGAGACCAACCAGCGGGCTGATTGTTGATATTGTCAGACAAAGCTATAGACAACGAAGACAAAAAAGGTATGGAGGAATCCTACTGGTGGAAGCGGGTGGTTGCAATGAACATAGGGGGTAGTAATAGACTAACTAACACGGCAATTCAAGAGAGATCCTTTAGTTAGTCCGTCATTTACCCCCTTAGTCTATAGAAACCACCCATTTCAATCAATAGGATCGCTCCATACTCTCTATTTCTTCTTTGTCTATAGCTTTGTCTAGCAATTTCAACAATCAGCCCGCAGGCCTACATAAGACTCTGAACAAACAGCGGCGATGCTCTACTTCAAGAATCTCAACGTCATGCTAGAGTACCAATAATACCTAGGGAGAGTATTTTGGTGCAAATTTTTTGCAACGTGGGACGCAAATTCCTTAAACATTTTCAAAGGAACCCGCACGAACATTCTTTTGTAAAAAATTAAATAGCCTACACTGTTAGAAATCAATGATTTACTCTGAGTGAATAGCCGGTGTGAAAAAAAAAATCCAGCGCGAATTTCGCGCCGTACTCTGAGAGAATAGATCAGAGCGTAAATATCACCAACGACGGACGAATTAGTTGAGGCACCTCAAGTAGCGTGAATTCAGGGCATCCTGATACGAGTACCGAATGGCGAAGTGGTAGAGCACTCGTCTATTACCGCCGCGACTCCAGTTCAAATCCATGTTACGGCAGCTCCGTTTTATGTTTGCCTGTCAGATTTTCACTCCCGCCAGAGCGCGAAATTCGCGCCGGATCCATGCACTCAGAGTAACAGGTGGTCAAAATAGCAACTGAGTAAGCGTGAATTTCGCGTCGGGATTTTAAACAGTGTCGTTCTTAAAAGGCTATAGTTATAGTTTGGAGCATTCATCTGCGGGCTGATTATTGAAATTGATAGACGAAGTGATAGATAAAGAAGACATTAGGAGTGTCGAATAATCCTATTGGTTGAAATGGGTGATTCCTATGGACTAGAGTACCTATATTGAGAGAGTATGGCCACTGGAGTGACCACCTCTGATTGGCTCAGCCATCTTAGGCTGAATGGAGCCCTTAGGACCCAAAAATGGCGGACGCCATAAAGTTAATGTAATGCAAAATGATTCAAAATGTAGTTGTCTTTGCTTATCGTAACGAGAACTTTACCCAAATGCACTATTGCGACTTTTTTTACATATTTTTAAGGCTAATCGTGTGCAATTTTTGAGAAAAATGATCTTAGATGTAGTAAGGTTGGCAGCAAGTGCGGTTGGTGATAACCGTCAAAAGTTGGCAATGACCCCCCTCCCATCCTCAAAAACCAAGACAAAGCACCGCCATTTTTGGGTCCTAAGCCTCTCCATGGGACCCAGTGGCCATACTCTCTTAATATAGGTACTCTACTATGGACTAAGGGAAAAAATTATAGACTAACTATAGGGTCTCTCGTAGGTTGCGGTTAGTTAGCCTATTACCTTTATCTTTCATCCATTGCATTGCAACCACCCGCTTCCACGAAAAATGATCCCTCCTCATCGTTTTTGTCTTCTTTGTCATTGGCTTCGTCTATCAACCTCAATGATCATCCCGATGGCCGCTTAACCTTAAGATGCCCTGTATACTTTTACCGAAGTATAAGCTAAAACTATATATACCCCCGGGGAAGGTAAAGTTCACTCCCCAAAGTTGCCCCTCTTCCGTAAGGGCGTACCTCGATTATCACGTAAGCCTTGTTTTACGTATGACTCTATGCTGTTCGGGGCTCATGCTGAGATGAAGATACGATCTTGCGTCGGAAAAGCGACGTTATGACGTGCTTGACACGACGGCGCTATGTTAATCGATTCTCGCTCAGCCGGTAGGCCGACAGTCGGAGAAAAAACTGAGCTGTCATGGCGGCGTAAGGAGCCCGGCTCGCATGATTAATGTGCCCCCGCTCCGAGGAAATAGAAAGGAACTCTGCCACAATGCTGACCGTATTTTGAAAAATAGAGAGAAATCAACGTATGAAAGCCGGCACCCCCCCCCCCCCCCCCCCCCCCNCCCTCATCGCCCCTCGCCTGGTGGTGCGCCCCCACACCGCAGAAAAAGTTGGGATGAGAGTGTGAAGCCTCCGGAACAAAGTGTTCCGGCAGGCTGCAGTTGGACAAGTTGTTTCCGAAAGAGGGAAATGGTCACTTTTCAGGCCCGAAAATATATAAATAAACTTTCTTCCTCCAAAAATGGAAAATTGCTAGATCCGTAAGAGGAGAGTTTGCACGCAATTTTTTTATTGCTTCATCTTAGAGTGCTTGGAGAGCTGATTTCGTAGTATTTTTCAGAATGTTTTTCTGGTAGGAAATAGAAAAGAACTCTGCCACAATGCTGACCGTATTTTGAAAAATAGTGGGAAATGAACGTATGAAAGCCGGCACCCCCCGTCACCCCTCGCCTGGCGGAGCCCCCGCACCGCAGAAAAAGTTGGGATGAGAGTGTGAAGCCGCCGGAACAAAGTGTTCCGGCAGGCTGCAGTTGGACAAGTTGTTTCCGAAAGAGAAAATGGTCACTTTTCAGGCTCGAAAATAAATAAATAAACTTTCTTCCTCCAAAAATGGAAAATTGCTAGATCCGCCAATGGAGAATGAAGAATTTTCAAGTGTCTGAATTTTTTTAAATTCCATTTTAAAATGGAACTTCTGAAAAAACTGAGCACGAGGATATCCTTGGTTTCTAAATTGGATAGTTATTGGAGGAAATATGACGGAATAACCTAATCTGCCGAAGCACACGTATGTAAATGGAAAATGCCGCTAGGTGACGTCACAAGGCGGGACATTTTCTGACCTTTAAATCTATTTTTCTCCAATTTCCCATTTCAGAAAAAAAATTATGAAAAATACTGCGAACTCAGCTTATTAAGCATTTTCGGATGAAGCAATAAAATTTGTGTGTGCAAATTCTCCATTTGCACGCAATTTTTTTATTGCTTCATCTGAGAGTGCTTAGAGAGCTGATTTCGTAGTATTTTTCAGAATTTTTTTCCGGTATGGGAAGTAGTAGTATAAAAATAGATTTTAAAGTGAGAAAATGCACCGCCTAGTAACGTCATCTGGCGGTATTTCTCGTTTAAACAGATGTATATTCGCAGATTTTGTAATTTTATCATATTTCCTCCAATTTGTTCAATTTATGAGCCGAGGGTATTCTTGTGTTCCGTTCACTCAGTTGTTTCCACTTAGAAACGAAATTCACCAGATTTCAGACACTTGCAAATTCTCCAATGGAGAATGAACCTATCTGCATAGGAAAGTAATATAACATGTCTAGCTTCCAGAACGAACCAAAAAAGTGAGTTCCTTCTTGCAAAATACGGTAGCTGTGTTCCCGATAATTTTGGAAATGTGTCCCTCCGAGTAGAATATAATTATTGAGTATCGGAATTGCAGGGAAAAAAAATACTCACCCGGTAATCTGTAAAAATATCGAGAGAACTGGGCATTATACGGGTTTTTTTCTCGGTAAAATAATTCTGGCGGGCTACAAGGAGCTTTCTTTTCGAGGAAACCGACGGATATATTTTTGTTAAAAAGAGAAAATAATTTAAGTTGTACAAAAAATTTTAATTTTAAAGCAATGTAAAATAAATATTTTTATTTTATTCGTACAACGGCGTAGCTCATTTCCTTACTGCTTTTTCCAATTTCTTTGTATATGAACTGGTCATTATTTTTAGTGGCATGGCGTACTTTGCGATACATCGATTAATCTGCAATTTAAACCTATGGAAAAGAATTGATAAACAGAGTGTTGGCAACGGACAACTTAATAATCGATTCTGTACCGTACCTTCAAATGGAGAAATATCGATTATCGAACGCCTTAATAATCGATTCTTTATCGCAGCTTCAAATGGGGAAATATCGACAAATCGATCATTCACGCCTCACCACTGATTATTTTATGGAAGAGCGGAAGGCTAACGAATCGATTCATCAGGAAATGAAAGAAGACTTTCCACTATATTTTTTTCTACAACCCAAACCAAATAGATTTAAAGTCGAGCAAATCTTTTAAATACTATATACTACCCATCATATTCTCACCTTTCACATACAGTAGCTTTGCAAGTTCAAGAATAAAAAAGGGTATGAAAATTAACTTCAAAACGAGACAAACTTTCCACCTTTTAACGAACAGCGTTTACCTGAGACGTCACACTATTGCAAAGGGTTAACTTTTCAGAGAAATGGTTTAATTTTAAAAACCATTTCACTATGCACAGGTTTTATTAAGCCACAGAATAAACAACCTGATTACTATCCTGTCGGCAAAATATATACAAAAAAAAAAAAAAAAAAAAAAAAAAAAAAAAAAAAAAAAAAAAAANAAAAAAAAAAAAATATTTCACTGCAATGATTGTTAAGAAGTACGTTGTAAAACTTAAATCAGTTGTAGCGATTCAGTCTTGATCAATATTTCAGTTTTAGAGGCGTTTTGTGCCAGTTTGTTTGAGATTCACTACGTTTGAGTTTCACAACAAACTTCACGAGACGCGACGCTTGAGAAGCAAAGAAAAAGTCCCTTCGAAGTACAAGGTAGACACCATCGAGACGATCAAGTCACAATAGTGGTATCACGCCAAATGAAGGCACTTCGTGAAGCAGTTCGTCGCCGTAACGAGAAAGAAGCAGCAACGCGGCAGAGAGTGTCAAGGTCTCTCTTCGAAAATTTGAAAACAGCACCTGTTTTGTCCAGTAATTTACGTCCACGCGTTTTTTTCGGCACGGGAGTTTTGGTCCACGTGCCAGTCGAGACCCAAAGTTAATTGGCCCACATGTAAATACAAACGACCACTGCTCACGACGTTTTTGGATGAAAATGTATAATGTCTTGGAAGAATGAGGGTTTGCTTGTTTCTTTGTTTTGTCTGTTCGGTCCAACGGAGAATAATATATAGTTGAGAGTTTTGGTAAAAATGGGGGAGCGTCAATTCCATTAGACAAAATTCACTAAAACTCTCTACACCTCTTTGGTGTAACAGAACTAAATTATCTTTCAAGAAATTCCCACATTGTTATACCAGAACCGGATAAACCTCTATATTTGCCTCCGCTAAAGGCTCTTAGATTTTTCCTGTGTGCGATAAGTATCTTGATTTATTTTGCGAGAAACGATCTGTACTTTTAAAAGATGCCTGTTTTTCTTAATACGTTCAATTTCGTATAATACTGTGCAACACCTCTGTTGTGAAATAGTCGCTTCAGGCGCCGCCGCACGGCGGGCGGGCGGTCAGCGCGGAACGCGCATCGGCGCCTACAAACCTAAGTGGATACTTCAAGCATTGTGCAATGCGTGAAGTATCCACTTAGGTTTGTAGGCGCGAGTGAGCCTCTCGCGCTGGCAGCACGCCGCGCCGCTTCGCTCTGTTAGGCTTTAATACCTTTTTATACTCGCATAGTCAGCGTTTTTTAACTCATGATTTTGAAATGTTTGCACACTCTGCATTGATTATTCTCATTTAGATTGATGGGGAAAAAATATGTATCAATTTATCAAAGGAGAATAATAATATAATGTGTGCGTTTTAAATATTGGTGGTTCCGTGTCAAATTTAATGATTTCTAACCCACTTTAATTTTTTCTTTTACATTTTGTGCTTTTATTGTGCTGCAGCGAGATGTACACGCAACCAAACGCTCAAAATTGACACCTCTTTCTCTCTCAATTTCTCATTTCGATATTGTCAATATAATTTTACATACCGACTAAAATATAACGCTAGGACGAAGTCACTGTTGCTTATTTTACGTGAGGGCGTAAACTGCTGGACAAAAAAGGTGCGCGGACAAAAAATCGTTGACAAAATGTCCTGAGACCGTGGGAAAAGTTCCCCAATGCAGAACTTTAAAAATAACGGAACGAAATATGAAGATTAGAGAGACTTAAGAACTTGGACTGTTGAGTTTATAAACATTTCAATAGGATAG